ATATTTACACCACACATTGCACTTAGACTGGACATCTCCACTGCTTCCAATTGCCTCCTCACTGCAGCATTTAAACTCAAGCTTCACACCCATATAAGAGTGTTGGAACTGCTATACTTTCACACACTCCCTTCTTTGCCTCCATAGAAACATTTTTTGTCTCCACATATACCTCAATGCACCACTCACCTTTTTTCCTTCATCAATTCTATGATTAACTTCATCCTTCATAGATCCATCCACTGACACGTCAACACCCAAATATCTAAAAACATTCACTTCTTCCATACTCCACTTCCCCAATTTGATATCCAATTTTTCTTTATCTAAATCATTTGATACCCTCATCACCTTACTCTTTTCTATGTTCACTTTCAACTTTCTACCTTTACACACATTCCCAAATTCGTCCACTAACCTTTGCAATTTTTCTTTAGAATCTTCCATAAGCACAGTATCATCAGCAAAAAGTAACTCAATTCCCATCTTGTGTTTGATTCCCCATAATTTAATCCCACCCACTTCTTTTACAACCCCATCCATATATATATTAAACAACCATGATGGCATTACACATCCCTGTCTAAGACCTACTTTTACCAGGAAGTAGTCTCCCTCTCTTCTACACACCCTAACCTGAGCCTCACTATCCTTATAAAAACTCTTTACAGCATTTAGTAACTTACCACCTATTCCATATACACTTGCAACATCTGCCACATTGTTCCCCTATCCAGTATCATATGCCTTTTCTAAATCCATAAATGCAATAAAAACTAAATGGTTCTTCAGTTTTCTTGTGCTTGGCAGTAATTTTGTGTCTTTCGGTGTCACTCAATTTAGCTGCAAATGAACACTTACAGGACACTCATTCATGGGACTCGCATTCAGTATGTGATCTGGACCTAACTGGACATGTTCTCTTTCTACTCACTGTTTCGATGAATGCAAGTGAATGTGTCTACTGCTAGGACTGCATACCGATTTGTGATAGCTTTTAATTTTTTTTTTTTTTTTTTTTAACAAGTCAGCCGTCTCCCACTGTGAGGGAAAAGTTCAATAGATAGGAGTAGCGAGGGAGTGTATAGTAACAATAGTTTCATTGCCGGCTACTTGTTAAGGTAGGGTAAGTCCAGCTCCCGCTATTCCCCCCCCCTTTTTTTCCCCCTCCCCGAAAGTGATAGTTTGATTGCCGGCTGCTTATTAAGGTAGGGTCAGTCTAGCTCCCGCTATCCCTTCCCCCCCCCCCGAAAGGTGACGTGTGGGGCTCCGGTCAAACAGTAAATCACTCGACTCACAGCTCCCAGCACTACTGTAAGTACACGCCTAATATATTTTAGTGGACTTATTGGTTGAAAGCTTCACTTTTGACCAATAATTAACTTAGTCCTTTCAGTTTTTATCTGTTAAATGTTTTAATAATCACCACAAATTTTAGGTATTGTACTTATCATGGAGAGTGATTTCTTAAACAGTGGGTAATCTGTCTCTCTTTACAGTTTGGAATGACAGAGGGTCACCTGCCAACCAACGAGAAGAATAGAAGGAGATGGACTAACGTCCTGAGACGTCCCATGTTTAACCTGTTTACCTGTTATGTAAGCCAACACAGGACCTAACCCCTCATCATAGCAATGGTAACGAACCTGTGTTCCTGTCATCTGAAGTAATTATTCACGGCTACACTCTGTGAAGAACGAGCCGGTGGAGGTCACCAACACCTGCTACCCCCCTCCCCCACATCAGCAACAGCTACGATTTCAACAACACAGTGTCACCAACACCTGACACCCCATTACCACGATATACAGTGGACCCCCGCATACCGTACGCATCGCATACCGTACAATCCGCATACCGGACGCTTTGATCGCTAAAATTTAGCCTCACATACCGCCCAAAAACCCGCTCACCGCCCTTCGTCCGAGACGCGTCCAATGTGCGGCCTGAGCCAGCCTCATATGTTCCGCCGGTGACATTGTTTACCAGCCAGCCTCCGCGGTAACATCCAAGCATACAATCAGAATATTTCGTATTATTACAGTGTTTTCGGTGCTTTATCTGGAAAATAAGTGACCATGGGCCCCAAGAAAGCTAGTTCCAACCCTACAGCAATAAGGGTGAGAATTCCAATAGAGATGTAGAAAGAGATCATTGATAAGTATGAAAGTGGAGTGCGTGTCGCCGAATTGGTCAGGTTGTACAAGAAACCCAAATCAACCATCTCTACTATTGTGGGCAACAGAAAGGCAATCAAGGAAGCTGTTCTTGCCAAAGGTTTAACTGTTTTCGAAACAGAGATCGCAAGTGATGGAAGATGTTGAGAGACTCTTATTGGTGTGGATAAATGAAAAACAGCTAGCAGGAGATAGCGTCTCTCAAGCGATCATAAGCGAAAAGGCTAGGAAGTTGCATGAGGATTTAATTAAAAAAATGCCTGCAACTAGTGATGATGTGAGTGAATTTAAGGCCAGCAAAGGTTGGTTTGAGAGATTTAAGAAGCGTAGTGGCATACATAGTGTGATAAGGCATGGTGAGGCTGCCAGTTCGGACCACAAAGCAGCTGAAAAATATGTGCAGGAATTCAAGGAGTACATAGACAGTGAAGGACTGAAACCTGAACAAGTGTTTAATTGTGATGAAACAGGCCTGTTTTGGAAGAAAATGCCAAGCAGGACCTACATTACTCAGGAGGAAAAGGCACTCCCAGGACATAAGCCTATGAAAGACAGGCTTACTTTGTTGATGTGTTCCAATGCTACTGGTGATTGCAAAGTGAAGCCTTTACTATTGTATCACTCTGAAACTCCCAGACCGTTCAGGCAAAAGAATGTCCTCAAGGAGAATTTGTGTGTGCTGTGGAGGGCAAACAGTAAGGCATGGGTCACTAGGGACTTTTTCTATGACTGGTTACACCATGCATTTGCCCCCAATGTGAAAGATTACCTAACTGAAAAGAAATTAGAACTTAAGTGCCTCCTGGTGTTAGACAATGCCCCTGGTCATCCTACAGACGTGGCAGAGCGACTATATGGGGACATGAAATTCATTAAGGTGAAGTTTTTGCCTCCTAATACCACTCCTCTCCTGCAGCCCATGGACCAGCAGGTTATTGCAAACTTCAAAAAACTGTACACAAAAGCTGTTTGAAAGGTGCTTTGTAGTGACCTCAAACTCAACTGACTCTAAGAGACTTTTGGAGAGATCACTTTAATATCCTCAATTGTGTAAACCTTATAGGTAAGGCTTGGGAGGGAGTGACTAAGAAGACCTTGAACTCTGCTTGGAAGAAAACTGTGGCCAGAATGTGTAGACAAAAGGGATTTTGAAGGGTTTTGAGGCTAACCTGAGAGGATTATGCCAGTTGAGGAATCCATTGTGGCATTGGGAAAGTCCTTAGGGTTGGAGGTTAGTGGGGATGATGTGGAAGAGTTGGTGGAGGAGGACAATGAAGAACTAACCACTGATGAGCTGATAGATCAACTTCAAGAGCAAGAGGTCAGACCTGAGGAAACTGGTTCAGAGGAGGGAGAGAGAAATTGAAGAAGTTGCCTACTACAAAGATTAAGGAAATCTGTGCAAAGTGGCTTGAAGTGCAAACCTTCATGGATGAAAATCACCCTCACACAGCTATTGCAAGCCGTGTTGGCAACCTGTACACTGACAATGTTGTGAAACACTTTAGGGAAGTCATAAAGGAACGAGAGGTACAGGCCATTATGGACAGATATGTTGTGCGAAAGAAGTCCAGTGACTCTGAAGCTGGTCCTAGTGGCATTAAAAGAAGAAGGGAAGTAACCCCAGAAAAGGACTCGACACCTCAAGTCTTAATGGAAGGGGATTCCCCTTCTAAATACTAACACTCTCTCTCCCCTCCTCCCATCCCATCAATCATCACCAGATCTTCAATAAAAGTAAGTGTCATGTAATTGTGCATGCCTTTTTCAGTTTGTGTGTATTAAAATTAACATTTCATGTGGTAAAAAATTTTTTTTTTTCATACTTTTGGGTGTCTTGCACGGATTAATTTGATTTCCATTATTCTTATGGGGAAAATTCATTCGCATACCGAACATTTCGCATAACAACCAGCCCTCTTGCACGGATTAAGGTCGCTATGCGGGGGTCCACTGTACCTATATTAGCGTTGAGTTCAAATGTAATTTTTTTTCCATTTCATTTTTCATTTTTCTTTCAATTAGGATACCCATTCATATTTTATTGTTTTACATTTTCTGTTTCTAAATAATAAAGTGTTTATCATTGTCTGTTATTATTTCTTTTTCTATTCATTAATTTTCCTGAGGAGCCAGCCAGCCTTGTTGTTACAGGGCTGAGTAAGCCTTCACACCCACCAAGGCTTTTAATATACATTTTAAAAATATTTCACATTTGTGTTTTTAAGTTCATTGATTTTACTGTTTACCAAGAGTATATTTGTACTGTAACATACCAAAACAAACCAAATGATACATACTGTATACCACTATGTATCATTATTTGATACAATTTTACTTTTGCTTTTTATATCTTAGTATCAGGATCATTTGAAGCAAGTAAAAATATTATTGCCAGGTAGTTTGGTGGTAAACAGGTGAATTAGCCTACTGATACTACTCGTAGTCCATCTTATTCCATCGCCTGGTTTTTCCTTAGCCTCCTGGTACTTAGTGCCAACAATTTTTTTTACAATTATGTTTTTTTTTATTTATGCATTTTATACAGAATAGTGTGCAAGATTCATTACTGGGTCACATACAAGAGCTTACTGTCTGGTATAGAAATACTTCTCTAGGCTTAGCTTGAGACCTATGAGAAATGTAACATTCAGCCTTCAAGATGCTGGGTAAACTTTATATTTTGTTATCAAAGCTGTCATAAACAATAATTTCTTTTCTGTTTTCTGCAAGGGAAAATATATGTAATAAACAAAGGCCCATAAAACTTAAGGCTAGCTATCTACTTGATAACAATCTCATGGTTAACTTCATTTTACAAACCTGATGAGTGTGAACATAGAGGTAGTTAGTGTATCGGTCACGGTTGAGCCTTAAAAGTGACCAAACTGAATAAGTGCGATCCCCAATTTTAGCTTGGACACGCTCTTGAGAAGTGTTGCAGAGAAAGGAACCAAAGAGATTGCTGTACACATGTTGGGCCAACTTTACCTGGGGGAAAAATAAAATCTAAATATCTAAAAAATAAACAATGCACAGTAGTAAAATAAATGTATGGCAAATACAGTGAAACCTCGGTTTTCGTATGCCCTAGTTTGTATGTAAAACTATAGTTATTCTCTATAAAATGTATTTTTTGTTAATATTTTAGGGTGTCTGGAAAGAATTGGATTTACATTATTTCTTATGGGAAATAGTAACAAAATATACATTTTACAGATAATAACTAGTTTTACATACAAACTAGGGCATACAAAAATCAAGGTTCCACTGTAGTAGTTCTGTTCAAGGATTTATACTCTACTTACCATTGCTACCAATTTTTTTTTTTTTGGGGGGGGGAGGGAGAACTAATTCACAAGAGATTATACACTTTGTAGCGTAGCATAACATAATATACTCGACCCCTTCCAGTTTGGTTACAGGCCAAATAAAATTACAAATTATGCCATCTTAAAAATGCTAGAATTTATGCAGCTCTAAAATAATTAATATCCATTAGGCCTCTTCATTGACGTTAGGAAAGCTTTCAATACAGCAGGCCACAGCATTCTACACCTCAAACATCACTGCAGTATCAAAGGTCATGCACTCGCACATGAAGCTGTACCTAACCAACATATACCAATATATTGCTATCAAGGGCATAACCTCATCTACAAGACCTGTCAGATTGGTGTCCCAGAGGGAATTGTGCTTGGCCTTCTGCTCTTCCTCTTATACATCAATGATCTTCTAAATACATCAGAACTTAGACCTACAAACCACAGTACTGAGTTTCAACCCTTGGCAAGCGAGTCTTAAAACTCCAGGCCAGTGCATCAGCCACTGGGCCAGCTGGTTACAGTAAGGTTCATCCAACTAGGTATATTTATACACCATAAGAAAGTTAGTATGGACCCCATTGTGACCACAAATGCATTATTACAATTTTGCAAGCCATGAAGGTGGCTTCGAGGGGACACGAGCTAAAATTCGCCACGGCCACACTGGTGGGCGATTCATCTGTAAAAACTTGAATTTGTGGTCACAGTGGGACCTTTGTTATCTTCAATGGTGTATAAATATACCTAGTTAGATGAATCTACTCATAGTCAGCTGGCCCAGTGGCTATGTACTGGCCTGGAGTTTCAAGACTCACTCACCATAGATTCAAACCCCACCCATATTGTGGTTTGTTTGCAAAAGTGTTATTACAGTTTTATGAACAGACCTTTCTCTTCCTGACAATTCTCGTCATCTCCCACCCAAATTTAAATTTCCTCAACACTGTTAATGAAGAACTTCTAAAAATATAACACTGGACTAGCAACAAACTTGTGCTCAATACTGATAAGACCTTCTACAGTAGGGTCCCGCTTTACGGCGTTCCGCTAATACGGCGATGTCAAATTATGACCAAAATTTCCTATACAGCAAGCAGTCTTTCAAAAACGGCGCGCCCCACCCGGTTTGTTTACATTCTCCGTGACCACATCTATTATGTCAGTAAATTTTCCAAAATTTCAAGTGTTTTAAAGTTACTGCGTATTTTATATGTACAGTGGTCCCTCGTTTTTCGTAATTAATCTGTTCCTGGAGCCGTTACTATAAACGAAATTTACGATTTGCCAATCAATTTTCCCCATAAGAAATAATGTAAATACAATTAATCCGTTCCTGACACCCAGAAGTATTAAAACAAAAAAAATTTTTACATGAAATATACATGTAGTACATAAACAATACAATGGGAAATGATGAATGAAACATTAACAGTGTAACACTTACCTTCATTGGAGATTCTTCTTAGTGTATGGGAGACTGGACGAGGAGAGAGATTGGATTGTTTACAGTTTGGAAAGGGAATCCTCTTCCAGCAACACCTCAGGTACCAATTGCTTCTCTGGGGTTGCTTCTCTTCTCTGTTTCTTAATGCTAGGACCACCTTGAGAGTCACTCTAGTCCTGTCTCGCAAAGTAACTGTGGAGAGAGCTCTGTTTCTGGCGTCTCTAACACTTCCCTAAAATGGCCCAAGACTGTCACTGTACATATTTCTCACCTTCTTTACCACAGGCTTGGCACTAGGAGCTTTCTTTGGAGCCATGGTAGCTTATTTAATACTTGCAAGCACTAAAATGAGTGGAATATTATGAAATATTTCGAAGGAGCACTTGAGGGGACCTTCACTCACTGGTAAACAATGCCAGACTGGCTGGGTAGGGAGGCTGCCCCAGCTCACACCATGCATACGCGTCCCGGACAAACTACTATTCGCGAGTCAACCCATGAAAAGCGAGTCCATGTTTAAACGAAAATACCCCTATGATTGGTGAAATTTACGATTGCCGAAAACTACGAAAAGCGAGGGACCACTGTACAGTGGTCCCTCGCTTTTCGTAGTTCCCGGCAATCGTAAATTTCACCAATCATACAGTTATTTTCGTGATAAACATGGACTCGCTTTTCATAGGTTGACTTGCGAGTCGTAATTCGTCCCGGACGTGTACCCACGGCGCGAGCCGTGGTGGCAGCCAGTCTGGTATTGTTTACCAGTGAGCGAAGGTCCCCTCACGTGCTCCAGCGAAATATTTCATAATATTCCATTTATTTTAGTGCTTAAAAGTACTAAATAAGCTACCATGGCTCAAAGAAAGATCCTAGTGCCAAGCCTGTGGTAAAGAAGGCGAGAAATACGAGTGAATTTAAGAAAACCATCATTGAACAATATGAAAGTGGTACAAGTGTGGCCGAACTGGCCAGGATGTATAAGAAACCCTACACAACCTTATGTTCCATAGTGGCCAAGAAAAAGGAAATCAAGGACGCTGTTGTTGCAAAGGGGGTAACTATGCTGACAAAAATGAGATCACCAGTACTCGAAGAGGTTGAGAAGTTATTGTTGGTGTGGATAAATGAGAAACAATTAGCAGGAGATACACTTATGACTTTGATTATTTGTGAAAAGGCTAGGCAGTTGCATGAAGATTTGGTAAAGAAATTGCCTGCAAATAGTGGTGATGCGAGTGAATTTAAGGCCAGCAAAGGCTGGTTTGAGAGATTTAAGAACGGTACTGGCATACACAGTGTGGTACGGCATGGCGAGGCTGCTAGTTCGGACCACAAGGCGGCTGAAAAATATGTGCATGAATTCCAGGAGTACATAGAGGATGAAGGACTGAAACCTGAACAAGTGTTCAATTGTTACAAAACAGGCCTCTTTTGAAAGAAAATGCCAAAGAGGACCTTCATTACACAAGAGGAAAAGGCAATGCCAGGACACAAGCCTATGAAAGACATGCTGACGCTAATGTTCTGTGCTAATGCTAGTGGGGATTTCAAAGTGAAGCCATTACTAGTGTACCATTCTGAAAATCCCAGTGTGTTCAGGAAAAACAATGTTATGAAGAGTAAATTGTGTGTGTTTTGGAAATCTAATAGTAAGGCATGGGTCACGAGAGAAATTTTCGTCGAGTGGTTCAATGAAGTGTTTGGCCTTAGTGTGAAGAATTACCTCCTGGAAAAGAAATTGGATCTCAAGTGCCTGCTAGTAATGGACAATGCACCTGCTCATCCTCCAAACTTGGATGACCAAATTTTCGAGGAGTTTGGGTTCATCACAGTAAAGTTCTTGCCCCCGAATACCACTCCTGTCCTCCAGCCCATGGACCAGCAGGTCATTGCAAACTTTAAAAAACTCTACACAAAAGCAATGTTTCACAGGTGCTTGACTGACCACAGACACTCACTTGACCCGAAGAGAATTTTGGAGAAAACACTTCAGCATCCTCCATTGCATAACCCTTATAGGTATGGCTTAGGAGGGAGTGACTACCAGGACTTTGAACTCTGCCTGGACAAAAATTGTGGCCAGATTGTGTCGACAAGAGGGATTTTGAAGGATTTGGGACTGACCCTAATGAGCCTATGTCTGTTGTAAAATCAATTGTGGCACTGGGGAGTTCCATGGGGTTGGATGTGAGTTTGGAGGATGTGGAAGAATTGGTGGAAGACCACAACGAAGAGCTCACCACTAAGGAGCTGCAAGAGCTTCAGCAGGAAGAGCAACACATTGCAGCTCAGAATCTTGCTGCAGAGGAGGAGGAAGAGAGATGGAAGAAGGTGCCTTCTTCAGAAATTCAAGATATTTTTACTATGTGGGGCAAGATGGAAAGCTTTATGGAGAAACATCACCCTAACAAGGTTGTTGCAAGCCATATTGGCAACATGTACAGTGACAAAGTCTTGGGCAATTTTAGGGAAGTGTTAAAGAGACGCCAGAAACAGAGCTCTCTCCACAGTTATTTTGCGAGACAGGACTCCAGTGACTCAAGGTGGTCCTAGTGGCATTAAGAAACAGAGAAGACAAGCAACCCCAGAAAAGCAATTGGTACCTGAGGTGTTGATGGAAGGGGATTCCCCTTCCAAACTATAAACAATCCACTCTCCTCCTCCAGTCTCCCATACACTAAGAAGAATCTCCAATAAAGGTAAGTGTTATGCTGTTAATGTTTCATTCATCATTTCCCATTGTATTGTTTATGTACTACATGTATATTTCATGTAAAAAATTTTTGTTTCAATACTTCTGGGTGTCAGGAACGGATTAATTGTATTTACATTATTTCTTATGGGGAAAATTGATTGGCAAATCGTAAATTTCGTTTATAGTAACGGCTCCAGGAACGGATTAATTACGAAAAACGAGGGACCACTGTATTCTGAAAATTATACTTATATGTACCTGTACCTAAATATACTTACACACTGTGCTGGTGTGCAGGTACACATTAAAATCGCTAAGTCTCCCTACTCGTGACGCCAATACTATGCAATACATGTAATAATCACTCTTGGGCACACTAAATGTCTTATTTTACATTAATATAGGCATTTTCATTAATCCATCAATGATATTTTCCTCAAAATTATATATGAAACCCGTTGCATAGCATATAAACATGATACATACACTACAATAAAAATTAACGTAAAGTTGAGATTTGTTTACA